TGAAGACATATCAATTAATATTTATTTTTATATAATTTTGATTTTAAGTTTATCTGAGTGAGTGAAGGCATATCAATTATTTTTTTTTTATATATAATTTTGATTTTAAGTTTATCTGTGGAAACGAGAGGGTGAATAAGTCAGAATTATTCTTTTCTTTTTTTTATGTGTATTTTTCTTTATCATTTTGCTTCTCTCTTTGTCGGTAAGTGGGGGGGGGGAGGTTGAGAGTAAAGGGGGGGAGAGTCAGAATTTTTTTTTTTTTTTAATTTCTTCATTATTTTACTTTTTTTTTTACTTTTATGTTTTTATTTGTTTATTGGGTTATGTCCATTTGTTTATCTCTCTCATATATTTTTTTCTTCTCTCTCTTCCTTTCGTATCTTTCTATTTGTCTGTCTGTCTATCAGTCTATCTGTCTACCTGCCTGTTTCCCTACCTGTCTATCTATCTATCTATCAATCAGTCTGTCAGTTAGTCTCTCTGCCTGCCTGTCTGTCCCCATTTCTTTCACTCGCACACTGACAGACGGTTAAATAACATATATAGTTGATGTTATTACAATACCAAGGAAAAAATGTTGCTTAGCTTCTTTTATTCTTAAAAAAGAAAAATCATTAAATGGGATATAGATTTTTTTTTAAATCTGATTTCATTTCATTGGCAGGCATTAATATAGATTTTAATCTTTCCCCATTTTTATTCATAAAATTTCACAAAAATAAACTTATCAGTCGAACGTCTGATAAAACCAATAAAATGATTAGATATATTCATTTTCTTTGCAATATGAAAAGACATTTTTTTTCTGTATATGACCTTAATTAAATCAGACGCTGCAATCAACGAGTATTCTTTTTTTCTGCAACATTCAATATCTGGACTTGTCAGTGTGTCCGGAATAGAAGAAATAAAAAAAACGAATGCCGATTTTAAATAAATATACCCCCTTCTCCTCCCCCCCCCTCCTCTATTCCCTCTCCCACCTATCCCCCTCTCCTCGTCCCTATTCCCTTTTCTATTTATTTATTTCTTAGGTTCCAGAGTGAGCGAAAGCATAATCTGTGGATAGAACACATTTAAATAACAATCAAGTTGCTATTCATCAACTTTCTATCAATTCTCTGTGAAAAAAAAACTACCAATCGCTTTGATAATAATTATGCAAATACGAGTATAAATGCGTTGCAAACACAAGCTCAAACTCCGAACTTGAGACCCAGTCATTTGGCAAAGAAAGTGATGAATGATTAGGTAGCTTGTCTGGGAAGTTTCGCTGTTGATGTATAAGGTGAAATTACATTATAGGCATGCATTTGTACATACTTAGGCCTATACAAATACAAGCTTGCATACATTCATGCATACACACGGGCGTACGTACATACATACATATATACTTATGAACACACACACACATGTATATGTATATATATATTTATAATATATACATATATGTATATATATAACTGTATATATATACACGCATATGTATATGTATACATATATTTATGATATAGATACACACATATATGTGTAAATATATAAATGTGCACACATACACATACACATACATATGATAATAAATACACACACACACACACACACACACACATACACACTATATATATATATATATATATATATATATATATATATATATATATATATACATACATGCTTATAAATACATGTACAAATACGCTATATATACGCACCGTGATAAAAAAGAAAAACTATAAAGACCTTATTGCTCATTTTGCAAAATACAAGGCACCATCTCATTCAAGCATCAGACTTTAATAGAGACTGTCCCTTGCGCCGTTCCGCTCTGAGCATTAGACGCCGAACTAAAGTTCTGAAGTGACAGCTTGCACCTCTGTTCATTGAATAAGTGACAAAGTGCCAACGAAAGAGCTGAAAGGCCTACGAGTATGTGAAATTAATTTTGCAACAAACTTCAGACAGCTCAATTCCTTGGCCAAGCGTACAGGACGACCGCGTGAGACCAGTGCAATGCTACGAGTCGTTTGAGCGTTGTAAAGAGTGTTGGGCGTCGGAGATCCTAAGCCTGGACGACTATCCACTTCAGTCGACGACAATGACAACGACAATTTCGAGATCATTTTAAGCGCGATTCGTGGAAATGGTCGCGTACCTGCCCGAGACTTAAATTAAAGGAGGCATCATTTCAAGATCTTGCCAGGAAATGGACAGAAAAAAAAATCACATATTGACGCTTCAGTGCAACATTAATCCGAGGAAAAGGTGTAAAACGCTCACTTCAGCAGGTGAAGCTCGGAGACTACGTTTCATAGCAGAATGGGGCAAGTGGCATTTATGATTTTTTTTTCTAACCAGCCTCTAGAAGTAGGTGGTGCTTAAAATGTTGTAAAATGAGCAATAAAAAACTTTAGCGCTAAAGTTCGGTCTTGTTCGAGCACCTTACGTTCATACACACTGGCACACACGAGTAAACAGAGAGAAAAAGAAAACAAAACGAAGGAAAACAAAAGAGACACATAAAGAAGAAAAAAAACCGAGGTACACACAAACACAAACGTACACAGACGCACACACACATGCACACTAATCATACGTTTGGTAGCATGGTGGTGTCTCATGCGATGCTGTTGGTGGTACTGATGGTAATAACTCCATTTGTGGTTCCAAGAAGTCCTCTTGATGGTCGGACCATGATCAACTCCACGTGGCAGCACCTCGTTCATACCGCGCTCAACCGTCGTCTGAGGAAGGGAGGAAGAGAGATAGGAAGAGAGAAAGAGAGATAAGAAGAGTGAAATAGGGGAGACCGGTAGAAGGGAAGAGAGATAAGAAGAGTGAAATAGGGGAGACCGGTAGAAGGGAAGAGAGATAGGAAGAGAGAAAGAGAGATAGGAAGAGTGAAATAGGGGAGACCGGTAGAAGGGAAGAGAGATAGGAAGAGAGAAAGAGAGATAGGAAGAGTGAAAGAAAGAGAGGAAGAACGATAGGAAGAGAGAAAGAGAGATAGGAAGAGTGAAAGAAAGAGGGGAGACCGATAGAAGGGAAGAGAGACAGGAAGAGTGAAAGAAAGAGAGAAAGAGAGATAGGAAGAGAGAGAGATAGGAATAGTGAAAGAAATAGGGGAGACCGATAGAAGGGAAGAGATATAGGAAGAGTGAAAGAAAGAGGGGAAGAACGATAGGATGAGAGGAAGAGAGATAGGAAGAGTGAAAGAAAGAGAGGAAGAACGATAGGAAGAGAGAAAGAGAGATAGGAAGAGTGAGAGAAAGAGGGGAGACCGGTAGAAGGAAAGAGAGATAGGAAGAGTGAAAGAAAGAGAGGAAGAACGATAGGAAGAGAGAAAGAGAGATAGGAAGAGTGAAAGAAAGAGAGGAAGAACGATAGGAAGAGAGAAAGAGAGATAGGAAGAGTGAGAGAAAGAGGGGAGACCGGTAGAAGGAAAGAGAGATAGGAAGAGTGAAAGAAAGAGAGGAAGAACGATAGGAAGAGAGAAAGAGAGATAGAAAGAGTGAAAGAAAGAGAGGAGACCGATAGAAGGGAAGAGAGGTAGGAAGAGTAAAAAAGAGGAAGAACGATAGGAAGATAGAAAGAGAGATAGGAAGAGTGAAAGAAAGAGGGGAGAACGTTAGAAGGGAAGAGAGATAGGAAGAGTGAGAATTAAAGAAAAAAGAGAGAGAGATAGGAAGAGTGATGAAAGAGTAAAAAGGAAGAGAGGTAGAGAGAAAGAGATCGAATGAGCGAGATCGAAAGGGGACATAGGGAAATAGAGACAAATAGAAGAGGAAGGGAAAGATGAAGAGATGGAAAGTGGCAGGAAAAGGGAAAAAGAAGAAGAGAGATAGGAAGGATGAGAAAGAAAGCGGAGAACGAGAGCGAGGGAGAGAGATAGGAAGAGCGATACAAAGAAGTGGGAGGAAAGAAGAGAAGAGGAAGGAAAGAAAGGAAAAGGAGAAACAGGGAAGTAAAGAAAGAGAAGTGAAAGAAAGGAAGGAGAGAGTGTTTAATGGAGCACATTTTAAGGTGTCATTAATCATATGAACGACAGTTTATATATATATATATATATATATATATATATATATATATATATATATATATATATATGTATTATCATTGACCGGAAATACTAAAGTTGTAGAACTGTTTATTATTATGATAAGACAGTATAGCTAAAATATAGAAAATAGAAAATTGGAAACAATTTATATCTAAGATTATTATTTTGTTATTTTGATCTGATGACAATGATATCAATGATGGATAAAATAATAGGGAATCAGGTCTCAAAAATAAAGTGCATATTTATATACGTACACGCTCTCTCTCTCTCTCTCACACACACGCACACACACACACACACACACACACACACACACACACACACACACACACACACACACACACACACACACACACACACACACACACACACACACACACACACCACACACACACACATACATACAGAAGAACAGCGTCCACTTACCTCCGCAGGCCAAACGGAATTACTGATATGAGGCAAGTAATCTGGCTTCAGTGGTTTATACGGTTTGTTATCCGGTACGAATCGGTGGGTCGAATTGAAGTACGGTTCGTTGTCGCCGTCTACATCCCCGCCCACGACTGTCGTAGGGTATACTGGGTGCATTACGACCCGCGTTTTGGGCGTGGATGTCACCGGGAGAATTAGTAAGGGCGGTTGCTGAGGGGCGGTCACTGGTGCCTGTACGGGCGGAGACGTGAGGGTGCTGGTGGGGGTGGACGAAGTCGCGGAAACGGGTGCGAACGCGGTTGTGTCACCGCCATGATGGATTGTCTGGATCCGTTCTTCGGCTCTGGCTACGGCTGGAGGTGGAGGTGGAGGGCGGGGAGGTGGTGGGGTGGTAGTAGTGGTGGTTGTAGTAGTGGTAGTAGTAGTGGTCGTAGTGGTGGAAGGAGGAAGTGTGGGCGGGCATGGTTGCAGATTGCACGCTCGTTGTTCTTGCGTCTCGATACCTGACGCGACACACTCGTTCAGGTAGGGTTGGTTAGGAACACACCTGTGCGAACGGATTCGGACACCGCCATCGCAGGACGTGGAGCACCCTGACCAAACCGACCAAGTCAACACTGCGGAAAAGAGGAAATTATTCGGGGTTTGTGCAACGGAATTCTCGATAGACCTTTATTAATCTTGTACACTACTTTCACTACCCATTATGTACATTCCATCGTATTATTTTATTATTATTATTATTATCACTAGCATAATTATTAGCATTATGGTGATATTGTGGCGACCCTCTGAGCCGCATCCCTTACTTTGAAGGATTAATCACAGTAATATACGAGATAAACAATAGCTAAGCCGTTCTTTATTACTTTATTGAAACTAATCTGGCTGTACGTATTGAATTTCATGTGGAAGCTCTACCCACAGCGAACTCAAAACTCTATATATACAATATAGGCTTTAGACAATGAATAACATCTCTTGTAATCTTTACAATACCACTGCACCACAAATGAATATCCATATGGGATATGCATCACAATAAACGTAGCCTAATGCCTCGTACACACCAAAATGCAAGCTAGAAACAGTCGCGCGACGATCAATCTCATCTGTTGCGCAACAACCAAAACAGTCGCGCAACAGTCGAGGAAAACTTTGAAGACACTGCAACATCGTTTCGGCGGACTGTCGTGTGATTAGATTTTCGTGAGTCAGTCGCGCGACCTTTATTGGATAACGTATCTGAATATCTATCTATCTATCAATTTATCTATCTGTCTATTTATCTGAATATCTATCTATCTATCACTTTATCTATCTGTCTATTTATCTGAATATCTATCTATCTATCAATTTATCTAGCTATCTATCGATCTATCTATCAATTTATCTATCTATCAATCAATCTATCTATCTATAAATCTATCTATCTATCTATCTGTCTATCTATCTATCAATTTATCTATCTATCAATCTATCTATCTAATCTATCTAATTTATCTATCAATTTATCTATCTATAAATCTATCTAATTATCTAATCTATCTAATCTATCTATCTATCAATCTATCTATCTATATATCTATCTGTCTATCTACCGATCTATCTATCTATCAATCTATCTATCTATCAATCTATCTGTCTATCTATCTACCAATCTATCTATCTATCAATGTATCTATCTATCTATCTATCTATCAGTTTATCTATCTATCTATCTATCAATCTATCTATCAATCTATCTATCTTTCTCAATCTATCTATCTATCTATCAATCTATCTATCTATCTCTCTCTATCGATCTATCTATCTACCTATCTATATATCTATCTATCTATCAATCTATCTATCTATCTATCTATCAATCCATCTATCTATCAATCTACCTCTCTCTCTCTATCGATCTATCTATCTACCTATCTATCTATCTATCCATCTATCTATCTACCAATCTATCTATCTAATCTTTCTATCTATCTATCTATCTATCTATCTATCTACCTATCTATCTATCTATATACTTAGGTGAGCAACATTTCTGAGACAGTTGCGAGGCATTCTAGAGATCATGTTTCACGATTTTATACCTTATATATTTTACGTTTTATAATATCTTGAAACCTTTACTTTTACGTGACATAAAAGGGCAAAAGAAGATGAATATTTTTTTTCTGATGAAATTATTTTAATCATTTTTGGTTTTATTAATAGATATAATTGCTTTCGTATGTTTGTTTGTACTTAAGATAATGGGAAAGGAAGATGAAGATGAAAATAAAAGGAATAAGAAGAGAAACGAGAAGGAGACTTAAAAGAAAGAAAGAGGAAGAAATAATAAGAAAAAGATAAGACATGTGGAAAATACGATAAAAGAAATGAGAAAAAGAACAAGAAAGCGATAGAAAATAAACCAGAGAGGAAGAAAAAGAGATGAACACAAGATAAAACATTTTCAAAAAATAAAAAAAATGCTATAAAGGAAAAAAAGAAATAAAATAAACAGGAAATTGAAAGAAAATAAAAAGATAATAACATGAAAAAAGTAAAAAAAAAAAAAAAAAAAAAAAAAAAAAGATAAATAAAAAATCAGAAAAAAAAAATGGCCACCCACCGAAGCCGCCGGCGTCCGAACCGGTGCCCGAGCCTTCGACCAGGTCTTCGTCATCAGTCGCGTGTTGGTGCAGCCTCTCCCTCTCTCCTTCCTGCTTATCCTCCTCCTTCTCCGTCTGCTCCTTCCCCGCCATCATCTCCTTCATTTCACTCCTTACGTCGTCTCTTCCTCCTCCGAAATAATAATCCTCGTCAGCGGTCCAGGGATACGTAGGAGGCAAACGACCCGCCTCGAAGTCGTCGTACTGGTCGTACACGTAAGACAGCGGCTCGTCGAAGTCGTGGTCGTCGTAGTCGTATTTGTAGTCGTTCTGGTCGTCTTCATCTTCGTGGTCGTGGTCGTCGTCGGTGTATTCGGACGAGGGATGCTGGATGCGGTTGTCGAAATC